CAACCATGTCCACTACTGTTGCAGAGTTGCACGGACTAATGCGTTGTTACGGTTCAGCATTATTTCTTCGCGGTCTCTGGTCAGACATAACAGGCCAAATCGCAGATGCACACATCCGCACTGATGCGAATAATCTTGTCACCACAGCATCCACAACACATCAACCGGAACAGAGAGAAACAATGCATTTGATCCAGATGTTGAGAAAGGAAAGCAACAGTGGACAGATGCATGACCTCGCACATGTACGGAGTGAAGATTGTCTGGCAGATTCGCTGACCAAGCATTCAGCTAAAGCAGACGAGCTCATCAAGGCCGTCCTCACCGGCAATCTCTTCAATGTTGATGCACATCCACCCTTCCGTACCATGTTGCAGAACAAGGCATTTTTGGTTGAGTGGCTAGCACACAATACGAAGCACGGACCCGACATCATTGCCTTTGCAGGAGTCGGTATAGCAGAATCCATGTTTGCTTACTGGGGAACCTGGGCATGATCCGCATGTCCACGAATTCTGATGCATGAGTTTTTCCATTTTGCACATTTTCAATTCCTCAAATCCGTGATGCGTGTTTTAGCGCTTGACCCATTTTGAATCTCAAGAAATATGCGTCTGCATCCGCAGCCACTTTCGGTTTACAACCATTCCGACCTTTGCAATCTTGTATGCTCTATCATTCCGTTGACATGCCGATTCTCAACATGATCTTTGGACGATCCAGCACCGCGGCTCCTTTGCCGAAGCCGCTGGTGAAGAGACGAGCATCTCCGTTGAAGGAATCCCCTGCTCGTGATGAGGAAGATGAGACATCCGACTGCCCCATGGAGCAAGTCGCTGATGAGAATCCATCCGCCTCTCAGCAACCCGAGAATGTGCTTGTCTCAAAGGTCAAGCCAGCACCAAAGAACATTCTGGATGAAGAGACGGAATCCGACAACCATCCTGGTGACCGACCTGCACTTCCAAGGCGACCAGCGATGCGGCCGACTCTCACATCCAATGATCGGTGGTTTGTACCATATGGATCAGATACTGACATCAGCCTCCAGAAGGAATCCGTACACGCAGGACCTTTCGGAAACTCAAAATTCCTCAATCCTCAATTTCGTGTACGAATGCTACAAGGAGTGCTCAACCATCCTCGAGATCAATCCGGACTTCCACTTCGTTCCTGAGCTTGAACGACCACATGGAGTCAAGGTATTCTGGTTGAAGGCCAGATTCAACGACTACTGGCAGCCAACGCTTCAAGGTGAAGGACCTCATGCAGAGAAACAATACATGGACGTCATCAAGAAGGTCTACAGTATTTGCTGCTATACCAATGCTCAACCCGAAGTTTACGGAACCGACATCATTCCGATGGTATGCCACAACGGCAACATTGATCTCGAGAAGACCGTCCAGAATGTTGAACAGGTTTGCAAATACTTCAGCATGGATCCATCCAAGGCAAAACAGATCACCGATCTCATCCTCTGGCGAATTGAGAGAATGAGAGATCGTTTTCCGGATGTCTTCGACATGATCCAAGGCATGGCATCCATAAAGAATGCAAACGACAAGTGGACATGGGTCCTGATGGATCCGTTGAGCTCTACGACGCATTGACCTGCATCACACATGCCAGGAACTTCCTTGGAAATAAGCCCGGACTTTTCTTGATGGCTATGTTCCCGAGTTATGGAAAGTCACGTTTCGAGGTTGCGTTCGTGCATCCATCCGTGGACGGGCCATCAATGAGCGCAAGGCAAGGGGAGAAATTGTTCCAAGGAATTGATGGATCGACAAGCTCAACACAAGATCCGCACAAAATGCACTCCGGCCCAATGGCAAGGAATTCTACAATGATCCTGAAATGGAGTTCTACGTGAGATGCAACAGCGGACATACACAACAAGTCGAGATCCAATCCTTTGGGCGACCACTGTACTCTGAGCAGAAGAGTGAGCCTCACCACGACGAGCCGGACTATGATCTTCCAACGGAATCCATTCCACCAAGTCCGCATCCGTCAAGATCAGATGCGCCTCATGAAGACGAAGGCACAGCTCAGCCCAAGTACAGAATGCGAAGGCCGGCACCACCATCCATTGAAGAAGGGAGAAATATCAAGCCGTTCGCGAAGAAGCCCATTACGTTCATGTTCCATGCAACCTATGGAAATCAGCTCCTCAGCATCGTGGAGAACGGGCTCAAATCTGGGAAATCCCAGTCAAACCCTTCGGGGAGAATGCACGTCCACATGGCATGCATCGACGAGGTCATCCTTGACGACGATGAGTCAGAAGCAGCACTAACCCATGTGCCAGCAGGAAGAGATGCACTGTTGATCCTTGCATTCCAGGACTATGGCATCCGACTCTCCGAAGAGCGAACAGCGTTCACAGATCAAACCATCGCGGCGAAGAATATTGTTGCAGCATTTGAACCTGATGGCAGCATCATGGTAAGCAACAAGTGGATCATGAAGAAGCATCTCAGTTATGAAGATTTTGAGATGTACGATACCAAGATCCGTGAATTCGCCGTTGCCTTTTTCAGTTATGTGAATTCCAACAAGTCAGCGAAGCTTGTGTTGCAGACCACGTTGCCCGTGTTGCCACCATCACCAGGCAGCCGGGGTTCCTCTGGTGTGTCGAGAGGCCCTTCGTCTGCACCAGCGCCTTGTCGTTGATCATGATGAGCTCGCACTGGTGCGCCCCGCTGTCCCGCTCCAGGAAGACCCGCGCGCTCTGGTTGCCCAGCAGCCGCAGCTCCGGTCCGCTGTCGGACGCCGCGCTGTTCTTGGAAATCTGCACCTTGCTCCAGCCCGCCCAGTTCTTCGTCAGCGTCAAATCGTCCGAGAAGTCGGAGGTGTTGGTCACGGTGAGCGTGTTGGACGCGAAGAGCTGCGGGGCGGAGACCGTGCCCGAGCCGAGTTGCCGGCCTCCAGGGTTGCGTCCAGGATCTGGAGGCCGTAGACGTCCACCGTTCCTGTCTGGCCGTGCGCCCCAAAGCGCAGCAAGTACATCTTGCCACTGCAGCCCACGAAGCTGTCGTGTCGGCCTTGGGCCCCCTGGAGCGCTGAGACGCTAGCATCCCGGCTAGCAAGCTGCGCTGCGACGAAGGCCTCGGTGGCGAGACCCAGCATGGCATTTGCTATCTTGGTGTCTACCTCCAGCGGTGTGTCCAACCCGTCCACCGTGGAAAGCAGGGCGGCCAGCGCGCTTGCGTGCGCCTTGCCGGCGAAACACAGCACGGTGAAAGATACTTCCTCAGAGACCAAGAAGCGACGGCACTCCACCGATCAGGACGAAGCTGAAGAGGAAACCATGGAACCCTCCGGGGAGAGATCCGTCAAGCCAAAGGTCACCGTGGAATATCACAATTCAGAGAACCTAGACGAGTTCATCAAGGAATTCAAGGGAATCTATCTCGAAATAGAAATGAGCAAAAAGGACGCCGAGGAAGAGCCCGCGGAGACCAGGGAGAACCTCCTCCGCTTCATGGAGCAGTACAACAAGGATCCAAGAAGAGCTCATCCCAAATTGACAGAATGCGAGAGAGCCTCATTGGCACACGTCGATCCACACGTTCAGCACTACGAACTACAATCAGATTGATCCTCACCGCCAACAAGACTATTCAGTGAGAGATCAAGAGTTTCACATTCGTCCCGCATGTACATAGTGTTGTGCGTCACCTTTCGATACATCTAGGTATCTCACAGAAGCAGTACAGACTGTTTTCCGTTCGGCAAATCAAGACATTTCATCCGTCAGAAAATCGGATGAATCCAGTATTTCAATAGACATGGCTACGGCATAAAACAAGGCTACGGCCAAAGGCCATGAAGCCAATGATATTTCATATCTAGTGCTGGAGATCAAAAGAAATTTGTTTCTGTTTTGTGTTTGGTTTGTTACACAATTGATATCCCGCAACCATTTGGCTCAAGGCCCTTCTGTACCATAGCAATACTCATGATTGCGTGACAAAGGAACCTTTGCAGGCCGCTTATAGGATTATACAACAATACAATCCACCAGGGACAATCCATCCTCCAATAACCCATATTGGCATATTGGACTCTCTCCGGAATAGATCCAGGGACCAAATCAACGACCTCTACTACCACAGGGTACCAGTTCCCTTCTAGGATAGGCACCTGAGCCCCCAGTCCTCCCCCGCCCTGGAGTGCGGTTGGGCTGTGGTTGGTTGGTTTATGGTTGGTCTAAGACCACCCGTCTTCCCCCCCCCTGTGGTGGGGTTCTGTTGTTTTAGGCTTGGCTTAGGGTTGATCTAGGACCACCCCGCCCCCATCCCCCCTGAGGTGGGGTTGTAGTGGTTCAGGTTTAGGGTTGATCTAGTTGTAGTGGTTAGGGTGGTTTAGGGTTGGTTCAGAGTGTGTTTAGTGTTGGCTTAACATATGTGTTTAGGGTGGGTTGGAGGTTGGTTTGTGGTTGGTTTAGAGTGTATTTAGTGTTGGTTTATAGTGTATTTAGTGTTGGTTTAGGAGGTGTGTTGTTTATCCTTGGTGCAGGGGTGGTTTAGCGTGTGTTTAGTGTTGATTTAAGATATGTGCTCAGGGGTTGGTTTAATCTAAGGTTGGTTCTGGGGTGGTTTAGGGTTGATTGGGTTGGTTCAGGCTTGGTTTGGAGTGTGTATAGAACGTGGCAAGTGTTGGTATAAGATGTGTGTTTCGAGCTAGTTTAGGGTTAGCTTAGGGTAGTTTAGTTTGGGCGCAGCGCGTGTGGGTTCAGGGGGTGAAGGGGCCGTGGTCTGGGGACCGCAGCAGCGGGGCTTCTTCGGGGGGGGTCGGGTTCTGGGGCGGGGGCGGCGGGGACTGGGAACCCGGAGCCCGGGACCCTCTGTGCCTATGCCCGGCAGGTCCACAGTCCTTTAGGCAGGGAGCTTCCAAGCTTGCAAGCTTCGGCAAGCTTCTCGTTTTGCTCAGTGGGCTGGTAGGGTGAGTGGCTTTCCGCGAGCCATAGAAGCCTGGGCTTCTCTGCCGAGGAACGTTTCATGACGCAGGGCGCTCAGGCCACTTGCACCGGCGAAAGCTGCGAAGAGATGAGGGAGGCAATGGGTTTGATGCTTCAAGATCGAGAAGTGTTTCAAAACATAGGGCCCCTCGCAATAGCTGCCTGAATTTCAGGGGCTTGCTGCCCCGAAATCAACGCCCCGGCTGAAATTGTGTGCTTGTTTTGTTTTTGGTGGTTGTTGTTGTTCTGACCGTTTGGTTTTTATGCAAATTTATCGTGGCTGTAGGAAGAATGCTTTGTTCTAGGGGTACCCTTCCCCATTCTTTCCAGGGATCCTTTTCTAGAAAACCTCCGGAAACCCAGGGGAAACGGCCGGTTTTTGGAAAGAATAATGGTTGAAAAGAATGGAAAAGGGATCAACCCCCCGATTTATGGGTATGTGTTCGCCGGGTGAGAAGTTGCCCCGAGGCGCTTGGACCAGCTGAGGGGGCACAGGTGGATCACAATGGATTCTCAGCTGCAGAGCTTCATATGGAATCCTGCACCACCGAAGTCGTGCAGGATTTTGTCCATCCACAGTATAGCTTTTCGGCTCGGGGACACAAGGCCCCCCCCCTCGCCCCCGTATCGGTTTTGGGTGGGCCCCTATCAGTTGCGCAGGGTTGGTTTGGTTGGCATCAGGTTTCGGTTTGGTTGGCATCAGGTTTCGGTAGTCCCCTAGCGGTTTCTGTTGGTTCTGTTTCTGGTTCCTCATATGCCTTTGGCTTTGAATATGGCCGTGTATGCATTCACTTCCAAACTTGTGTCTGTTTGCATGTGCACGCCTGGGTTCTAAATGTTCAATGTGAACAGTTGCTGCTTTTGGGGCTCGGGGGCGAAACCCCAAGCACCCCGTTGGAGCCGCCATCCTTATCTGGAGTTGCTTATTTTGCACCTCAGTGTAGATTGAACTGGGATGGAATTCATCTAGGCTAGGTTAGGAGGGAATGATCCATGATGGTTGACATGGGCTCGAGGGGCTTTTGGCTGACCTCGTCACTGAGTTGCAACCTCCTTGACAAGAGAGTCGGGTTTGCTCAGGACCTCGGAGCGAACGCGGGGACAGAGGCAAAGGTCACCAAGGACCCGCCGAAATCGCTTCTTTTGGCCGAAAGCGCCCATCTCCCCCCCGACCATTTATTCATTTATTGGTAAGAAAAACTTTGGATGTGTTTGGCTGATCCACTCAAGTGGCAATCTGCAAATTCACGAGAGGGAGATCCGGAAGCCTCTCTTGCGCCTTTTGGGTTCTAATGCAATCGGGCGAGCAATTGTTAGTTCGTCTTTCTAAAGAGAAGCCAGGCTCAATATCTGAAGCTTCCTGACACTCAACTGGGTCATGTGCCTTGTGGCAAGCCTTTTTGGAGCGTGTTTGCCTATGTTAACTTCCATTGGTTGAAATGAATACTTGTTGTTTTCCCCTGTCGGTTGTAAAGGGAATCTATGTTGTATTTTTTCTGGGAGGCGAAAGCAAATGGAGGCTAACAGCCACGAAAACACAGGCAAAGTGGCCCAACCACTGCATGCCAATATAGTTCTAAGAAACTGTCCTACGGGGCTTTTGACTTCGACTTCCTCTTCAGCTCGAGCGCAAGGTTCAGGCAGTTCGTTACAAGTCCACACGAGGCGGTTGTGCTTTTGCTTGGAGGTTTGCGGCATTGCTTCTGTCGCATGCTGCTTCAAGGTGCTTGATGTGTTGTGTAGGAGTAGTTGTGGGAACAGTTGTTTTGCTGTTGGTTTTCTTTTGACGTATTGTCCTCCCCGTTTAGTTGTTTGTTTGTGTGCCTCAGCCCAGCACAGCCTTCGCTTTTTTTGTTTGCTCACTCGCTCGCTTGGCTGATCGCTTTCTTGCCTGTTGCGAGGTGGTATGGGCCATGTCGTCGTGCTTTGATTGTTGCTACTCCATGATGGGTGGTGTAGATTGTTGGGAACACCCCAATTCATCGCAAACATCTGCACTGGAATCAGTTGGGCTTGTCTCGCGCTGCGACACCCTCCAGCTGACCCGCCTTGTGCTTAAAAAACAAGAGGATGTTGTTGTTCCATTCAAGGATTGCGCAAAAGAGGCATGAGAATTGCATACATGTCCCTACGAATATCCATGTCCCTGTTTGGTGCAAGGGAAAGCCTACCTACATGTTGCACGTAGAGAACGAGGAAAGCCGTGTGGTTTCCCAATGTTTTGTTGCTGATATACCCAAGATCTCAGGTTCCAGAAGGCTTGTGAAGACCTGATGGAAGCTCCGTGATCACATGGTCAATCGCGACCCGATGGGCCAGGAAGCCTCGGAGTCCCTGGCGAGGAGGTCGCTCAAGAAGGTGACCCTTCGCATGGAGGACCTTCAAGTGTCCCATCCGGTCTTGAGAGTCTGAAGGGGAGGCATGGGTGTGGTCAACAAATGGTGCCCAACATGGAACGGGGACGCAACCACTTCTGCCTGCCTGTCTAAGAGGGTTCCTACTACCCCGAAACCACCCAAGAGAATGAAGGGGGATACAACCACTGTATCCACACTATATGAAGCATGAATGCCATTGTCTTGCCAGCATAGTTTACCTTCAAACGTGTTGCCTTGTTGGTTTGCTTCAGTTTGCATCCAGGCTTGGCCAATTAGGGGACGTACTGGCTTCCTGCATCATCCAAGTAGGTGCTAGTTGCAGCGGCGAACCTTCGCCTTTCGAGAGCGGTGCACTGTTCGGGACTGCACCAGGGCTGTGCATTGCCACTACCCATGTCACAATGTCCCCAGGGTCCGGCTTCTTCTTTTTTCCCCTTGCTAAAACGATACATGTTTTGCGGGATGTATTTTGGAATCCCCCAGATGCTTTCAGCAAACACCCCGGGCGGCTTTTCCGGCCGGGGCCGGAAGGACTCCAGCCCGAGCGAGGCCCGCTTGACGGCAGCGGTTTCGGGTTTTGGGTGTGGATTTTTCCGGTGGGTGGTTTTGCCAGTGGATGGTTGCGAAATCGAATTCTTAGGCACCAAGAAAGGGTTGGTGGCTGTTTACAGGCTGACGCATGCAGGGTTGGGAAATGGCGCGCTTGAGAAAATGATTGCTTCAAAGGGAATCTCAACCGACAACCCCTGCACGGAAGTATCCATTGAATTTCTTCCCGCGCTGGACATTCAGTTCTTGGCATCCGCCTTCCTTTGCTTTCACGCCACTCGGTGCGTCACACGGTTGCTCTAGACATAAAATTGAAGCTCTTGTCTTCGATCTTCAAAAGGTATGTGATTCATAGTGTTCGTAACTTGGGCCTGGCCGCAAGCAGTGCTCCCAAACCGTGCGTTTGTTAGATGGGGGCCTGAAAGCCAGGCCACAGAATAGTAGTTGCTGTGATCATTATCCGCACCCCCCCCGGGAAGCACTCTCCCCCCAAACACGCCAGTCTTTGACTGTTTTACTTGGACCGGTCGTTCCCCCGGTATGGCATTTGCCAGGCGCACGAGACGCTGCAGGCAGGGCCAAATGCAAATGCATCTCCGGGTTGACGGTGCCTTGCTTCGTTCAAATTGCGTTCGGGCTGCTTATGGAGGTTGAAAAACGGTCCGAACCTGGTTTGCCTGGCTAGTTTGCTGGATCTGGATTGTGCTGTGCGGGACCACGTTGTTGTGGCAGGACCCCCGCAGATCAAAACGGATGTCTATGTCTCAAAACGGGCGCCATGCAACGGAACCTATGCAGGTCTCTGGGGCATTTGCCCAGATCCCTTGCATGCAGGCTGCACGGTCGCTGGAGTTTGGGCCTGCGGAGACTGTCCGCGGCTTGGAGGTCGGCCTCGCAGGGACTTTCATTGAACCCCCCCTATCCCCTAGTTTTGGCCTTATGTTTGCAAACGGGGGCATGGAGGAGGGGTTTCAAGCTCTTACACTTCCAACTATGGTTTCGTTGTGAACTGTCCAGTGGCAACTGTGGAAAAGCTGGCCAACCCCTCTCCCTCTCTTCATCTAGACGGAAGGCTGGAGGGCCACGTTCCACTTAAAAGGACCTTTGTTGGCGTCCAGTTGTCCTCAGTTTGAGATCAGCTTCCCGAAGCTCTTCCATGACAAGTCCACTTGATTAGCAGTACATGGTTGTTGGAAATATTTTACATTTTTTGAGGTTTAGTAGGAAATCCCCACTTAACTGCTAAAGTCTAAATCTTTGCTCCCCCCTCCAACGTCAATCAAGAGTAGGGCAGGGGTAGAAATTCGCGAGCGGCTTGCGGCTTGCGTGTGGGGACTTCGGAGTGAAAGACACCTGATGCCCATTCTGCCTCGCTACGACTCATAGCGATTGTTGAATTGAAGACTTGTGCTACACGCAAAGCAACAACAAGGCACCAAACTAAAAAAAGAAACGGACTGCTGCGGTTCCTGCTATGGACATTCCCAACCTGTTGCTTGCAAAAGTAGCATGGCTTTAAAGAAGCATGATTCCGCCTTTTGACATTTGGTTGAGCTTCCTTTCTGTCTCACGGCTTTTGAAGGAAAGTTCTGCCGGCCCAGAGGCAAGTTCGAAACTCGGCCAATTTTTGTGGCTAAGATGATGGTCCCGGACGACCGTGGCGTGGATGGCGACGAGTCGCCTCCGGCACAGCACGTACAGGCCAGGCATTGCCCGTCCTGAGTAATCCATGAGTGCAGATGGTAGATCTTCCAAAGTGAGAAAGGCATGGTTTGCATCTCCCACCGCTGGTCTAACGGCTAGCAATTCCAACTGCCAGGCAAGGCCAAGTTTCGAACCCTGAGTTGCCCAAAGCGAATCCGCCTTTCAGCGCTTGGGTTCACCTGTTTCCGTTTGCTTAGCCCAAGGGCTGCCTTTGTGTTTGAATGTCCGGATCCTTGCCGATAGTTTTAAGTTACGTCCTCAGAGGCATCCGTATCCAATGCATAAAATGCAAAAGGTCTGCCTTCAGTGCTCCAAAGGTACTGAGCAGGCCCTTCACCATGCGAGCGTTGGCTCTGGGCTTAGGGAATGCAAAGATAGCCTTGCCCTGGCCGCCGTGTATGTCCATGCGAAGTCTCAAAACGGGTGAGCCTTTGAAGAAACAAAAAGGGTTCGCTCAAATGTGATGCCGTGAGGACTTCTCACAGCCCACTCGTCCCTGTGAGGAGTACCCCAGTGAGGGCCAAATCTCTGATATGATCGAGGCCGGCACTGGGCGAGAAAGCTGAGCGAACAGCCAATCGGTCACAGAAACGGTGCGCAGAGCACAAGCATGGTTGTCCAAGCTATTATTGTGTGCATTCTCGTTTTGTTTGCCGTGCTGTTGGCAATCTGCTTCGACGGGTGCAGATGTTCGCCACCCCTTTCGAGGTGCCACACAAAAGCTCACAGGCAGACGGACAGAGACACACCTACACACACACACACACACACCTACCCGCACCCGCACCCGCACTGCAGGCACGCACCCACCCAAGAAAGCATAAATAGATTCAATGCAAACTAAAGGCCTGCCGTTTTTGTAGGCCGCCAGGCTGGATGGCTGAGAGTCATAGAGGAGAGGCATGTGGTTGCAAAAGCCGGTTGGCTTCATTGTAGCAAGCTTACCCTAAATGGCGGGGACTGGGGGGGTTAAACAAGCTCACTCACGTTCCCAGAGAATTCCTCAGGACAGGTTTTTGAATAATTCGAAAATGCCAGAGATATGGCATAAGGCCTCCATACTTGTAGCCTCTTCATCACCTTTTAAGGGGATCTCTTTTGATGTAAAAAAAACGGGTTCGCTAACTATGGACCAGACTCAACATGATGGGCCTCAGGTTACCCGGAAGGCGAAGCGCTGAGCCAGGGTCGCGGGGGCTCGCGCTTCGCCAGGTGTGCTTAGACGTGGAGGCCACCGCGTGGCGCCCAGACTTCCGAAGGAACTGAGCCCTTGATAACACTGCCAGTGGTGGAATGAACCTTCATTCGGAGAAGGATCTATATGTGGTGTTACCCTTGGGGCATGTAATTTTGCCCCTTGAGCACTGCCCGGCCGTTCTTTTTACAGGAAATGCGACGATCATCAAAAGTTGCAACCATCTGAGGCTATATCCACGTAGCTGAAAAGTCAGCAGTGCACCATCAAGAGTCGCAAAGTCAAAATGACCCCCGCACGATGACGGTCTAAGGGGTCGTGGCAACGGGTTCCCAAATGCCGGAACCAATGGACCCTGTTTGATGTCTTTGATCCGAAATTCACAGTAGGCTAGAAAAAGCATGACCTTTCCCAAAGGATTCCAAAAAGGGAGAGAAGCAGTGTTCGTGGGCGCCAATCTTGCCGTGAATGGCCAGTACGAGTCAACATGATGCCAGCGGATATGTAGTTTGAATATGCTCCATATGTTTTGCTTGCACCAGTTTCTCCAACCTTGTGGCCGAAGATGACCTTTTAATATGCGGCTTGTTTTTTGTTCGACAACCCTGAGTTCCCGCCGCGCAGCCGCCGAAATCCAACTAGACGTTAGCTTGCGCATGAGACGCTCGGGCTGGCTATGATAAGCCTGGGGTGGCCCTTCTAAAGCAAGAGGGATGAGACCGATGTGCCCTGTGCATAAGCTCTAGAGACAAGCAGATTGGCTGCTATGTTAGCACCAAGCCCTGCGTGCTGGACCCAAAGCTGGATCAAATATTTGGGACCTGTTTTCACAAAGCGTCTTGACCCGTTCCGAGGCATGGCAAGAAGTGCATCAGGACATGCGGAAGCACGGGCACAGCCCAGGAAACCTGTGCCACCTCCACCTTGGCCTTTTGGAACGTTTTTTTTTTTTTGCCCCGGGGCGTTAGTGGGATTTTTTTTCCCACCAAGCAGTGCTTCCATGGAGCCCCAGAGCCGTCGAAGGCCAGTGAAACGCGCGGTCCAGAACGCCATCACAGAAACGGCTCCCGGAAATCAAGGGGCCTTCCCACCAGTCTGGCGAGCCATGTCAAATGCCCCTACCAGAAACTGGAGGAACATTGCGATGAATTTCCCGGGCAGCGAAACCCATTGCAAGCAGCAGGCACCACTACGTCAATGTCCTGTGGCCCATTCACTTTTCCAACCAGTCAAGCGTGCCCTATTAAAAAGGCCCACCCGGGATTAAGATGCCTTGCAGAAGAACAGCGGAACCTCCCACAGGTGAAGCATTCTATCTGAAATGGGCCTCCCATCAGCCAGGGGTTCATGCCTTCGGACCGGTATGCTTGGTGAGTGCAGCCAGGTCAAAAAGACTTGCCGGTTGAACGAACCTTGCTCGCATATGCTCATCTTACATTCCCTTTGATTCCTGCTGCTTCTTTTGCTCAGCAGACGTTGCGTTCCGTCAACGGCCTGGGTTTGCCAAGCGATCACATGCAACCCGATTAGCGCTCAAATCTTGAAACGTGCCTATGGCCACACATCAGTTTCCGACGGCGCAGCTGCCCTTCACCAACATGGAACAAAGTGTCTCTCCAAACGTGGCACAATCCTGTGTCCGTGTCAGGAAGGCTCGCAAGTTTACTACTGGTCCAGCACGCACCAGATGTTGCCCGGGCTCCCGGCCAAAGGGCCTGCGTGCGGAGTTCGAGTATGATGAGCCGATTCTTTTGTGAGCAAGCCCCCAAAATAAGAAATGCTTTAACTTTCCGAGTTTCTGGAGCAATTGCAAAAACCAAAAAAATGATAATGTAAGCCATGTTGTGTGGAGTGTCTGAAACTTGCTTGCCTTTTGCTGCACCCCTGTGGGAACTGAGCGTCACTTGGAAAGGTCATCCATGGTGATTGCAAACATGTATCCCAGACGCGCAGTATTCCAACACATCCGGCAATTCTGGCAATGAATGGCTTGGCAGGTCACGCCAAAGAGTCGAAATGTGATATTTAACGTGTTGATTCCTTGTTACTGAGATCTGTTGTCTGCGCCTCTGAACCTGTTTGATAGTTGAGCAACCCAAAGAGCCGCCCGTGTCAAACAAATGTACCACGCTCATAGCAACACAAGTTCATGAACAGACCTTTCTGGGTACGAGGCTAAGAGACAAATGTGTTAAGCAAATCATGTCAGGTTCAACTATCGGCACACGCCCTACCCTCCAAATAAGAACCCGTAGCTTTTCTCAATAGCGACTGGAAGGTCTCTCCCGCAACACCCCAGAACCAAAAACAAAATAAAGCGAAGTTGACGTGGCAAGAGGTCAGTTCGAAGACGCTTGACCCAAACCCGCCAGATTGCCCAGGCTCCAGGGCTACATCAAAGGCGATGGGAAGTTCCTCACGGAAGATCCGGACGAGCCTCTCGGCTGGCTTCGGCTTGGAGGGTGGGGGGGGGGGTGGGGGGGTACCTTAGATTCCCTTTTGATAGGAGCTGTCGGAATATATTTTGATAACTTCTGGGTTGGCTCGAATGAGGCAAGTGTGGTGCATACGTCTCGTGATTTGGTTTGTCTCAACATTGGGCACACCGTTTGGATTTTCTAGAAGCGATAAACGGAAACTAAAAGAAGGCCAAGCACGTGGAGGGCTTTCCTGATTTTGGCTGCACTGGAGCTGGGCGCTAACAGGAAGGGAATGACTCATCGGGTGTCTCATTTCAGTTCGGAGTAATGAACTGCAGTTTGTGGCAAATAGGGCACTACCAAGTTTGTTGTCTGTGAATTCACTCAGGACTTATTTTCCTCCAAGTCCAAATCACAATTCTTAGGTGTTTCGTTGACGGGGTTTCCAATCCAAACGGTGAAGATGTCAAGGCCTCGCCGGCTGGCCCGCAAATGGCAACCCCAACAAAAGTGACAACCAGGAAGGGACAACCGGATTCTTGAAAGGAATAGCGGTTTGTCATCGAGTTTTGGTCTGGGCGATGCATTGCGGGAGCCGTGGCCATGGTTCCTTGAACTGACCGGAAAAAGTTTCGCTCAACTCAGCCTGTCAGATGACTCATTTCACCTTCGTTGCTCGATTCCCATCTGCCTATTTCATGGCGAGCTCACCTGGGCGTAACACGAACTTGCCATGCGCAGCTAGAGACCAAGAAAGGAGATGCCACCCGTAGACCCGGCGAGGGTGCCGCACTACGACGTGCAGATCGGCGCCCGGCGCCAGCTGCGGCGGATGGTGCCCTGCCGGGAGCTGCGGCCGACCTTCCAAGGCCGCGTTGCAAATTGCGGAGCACGCCGTGGGCTGAAGCTGGCCTCCCAAACTGGTCAACACGGAACCTGAGGTTTGGGGGGTCCATGTTCCCTTTCTTGACAGCTAGGTTGGATCTTTGGACTTGGGCTTTTTGGGAAACCAAGGGGTTTTCCACTAAGCCCACAAAAAGTTAAAAGTTAAACTTTTTGTGCAGGGATCAGCAGCAACCAAGGTTTAAAGGGACCGGGCCCCTGACAGGTTCCGTGTTAATTGGTGGGAGGATTCAAAGGTTGGAGTGTGTCGGCATGCTTGACCAGTTTGTGGTGTAGCTCTGTCTTTTGGGGACTCCAAAAGGGTGTTCTTTTTCTGGCAGGATCGCTAGGCGAAAGTCTTTGCTTGTCGACGCGTGGGTGTGGCTGTGTGTGTGGGTGTGTGCTATGTTGTCTGTAGCTGAGTGGTTGACATGCATTGCTGGGCCTGCCTCAGTGCTTGCCACCTTGTTTTCTATATACTTGAACTGTTCTGGAGGTGTATTTGTTGTTTGCTTTGGGCTCATGAGAAAAGATCGGCAGTTTGTTTGACGCAAAACATGGATATGTTGTGTTCTCAGTGTTTTGCCGCATGGTTCTGTTCGTGCGCGCAGGGCTGGTAATGCAAAACCAAAAAAGAGTTGCTCGCGAACAGTCCACAGAGCGGGGCCCTGTTTGAGTGGGGGCCTGCCGTTCTTTCGTTTCAAGCCGGGAGTGGTGCTTCTCCTGTGTGTTTGCCTTGGTTCCAGTGAAGAATCGATCGGCCCAGCATACAAAAGAGGCATCCTTCGCAATCCTTCGTGCCTACGGGGGTCATTCACGAGCAGTATGTTTCAATGCTGGGCCGTTGCACTAGTAAGTGTGTGAAGTAGGTATTGGCTCTTTTGGGCCGTACTGGTTGGGAAAGCCTGAGCGCGAACCCGAGGGAGTTGTCACGTTGGGTCTCTCACAATCATATGTGGGGAGATTTGGCAAGTCTCACTTTGTTGCGAACCCATGCCTGATCCATCCAGTGTCCAAGATCATTTTCGTGCAGCACGAAGTCAGTATTCCTGAGGCCGTTTGCAGCCAAAAAAAAACGTGCCTAGTGGGGAAGTTGTCGGATTGAACGGCCGGTTTCCGTGCAGAAGATGGCGATGCTCACAACCATGAGCGCAACATCCTTGGCATAGGTGTCGGTTGTTTTGGTAGAAAAGTAGATGGCCCTGGTTTACCTGGTGGCTTACTCCTCCACCAGGGCCATCTATTTTCCCTAAAAGGACACCTACCGCAACTTGATCACGCAGACCTGCCCACTGCAAGAACCCTCAGGGCCGTCTTCACTTTTGGGCTCACATAATCCCCCCAGTTGGTCCCTTGCCACCCGCAGGTGGAGAGACGATCTTGGTGTATTTGACCGCCTGCTGGCAGCATTGATCCGATCAGCAGCCTGGAATTGAACACCAGGCCTTGCCTTGGGTTTTTGGCGAAGTCTTGTTCTGTTTGCCGTGTTGGGACGCGACCAGTGGCCTCAGATCACTGAGCTGCACGTTAAATGTGTTTGCACGCTTTTGATCATGATGACCCTTTGCTACATGAGGATCCAGTCCATGCATTGCCGCTAGTCTGAAATACTCGCAGCTAGTCTCGCTCAGCTGAGGACACGAGGACAGAGTTGGGCCGGAGTTAGCGCGTCAGAATTTCTTGTCTGAAGCTACTTCGGGTGGGGCGGCCCCAAAGGTTGTCCGAACAGCTGGGCAGCTCAGGTGCAGGTGCTCAGTTAGAGTCTTCTGGGCCATGGGAAACTAACTTTCTGAGTTCCTGAACTGTAAACTTTAACTTTTTTGCATACACCATTTTAGTGGTAAACAAAAATTTCGGACTTTCTGACTAATCCACAAGTGAAACCCTACAATTGGTGAGAAGACGAGAAAGAAGAACCATTTTTGAAGCGGGCTTCTTAACCGCGTCTGGTGCATGCACGCCGTATCCATAGTGAATCCAATGTTTATACCTAATACTAATGGATTCTATGTGCTTTGCATGCCATACTGGTGGCTCCATGTCGGCCGAAGCTTCAGCTTCCAAAGGCGGCTCTTGCAACAAGTCCCTGCTTGCTGACATCACGGAGTCTCACGATGGTTGTGCTACTGACGACTGAACCAACGGGAAAAGCATCTACTAGGATGGATGGGAACTTAACCGCCTGGCTTCTTGCAACAAGCTTTGTTGAGCAGGAATGGTGCTTTAGCCATTGCTTCATGGCTCGAAGCGCGTCTGTCAGAGTCAAGGGCTTGGAAAGCCAATCTCAAAGACCCCAGGCGCCCCAGGCTGAAGAAACGAATCCGGGTGACTCTTGAGGCCGGGCGCCCCTTGCTTTATACGACCCGTTAACTCTAAATGGTGAGGCTCTGAACAACTCAATCCACATTATGCCCTCAACTTGGTCACTAGGCGTCGCCCTATAAATAGAAGTCCAGCTCGTTTTGATGTATGGTCGCTCACCTTTCCTCCCCAACCCCTGAAACTCTGTTGCCGAGTGGTGCCCTTTTGTCTTTTTTTGGGTAAGGGTTCCCCTTTAAGCTCAACCAACAAAAAAGGTGCCCCTTTGTCTTGCCATGGCCACTGGGCATTTGAGGGAATGTCATCAACACTTTGCTCTTTGCAAGCCCCCTGCATCGCCAAAGCTGAGAAATGGAGCCAGCAGTAGCCTCTCTGCCAAACGGCTGTGGCGCAAAACGGGTACCCAAAATGGGACGGGAAATGCCACGGACAACCCGCGGTGCCCAAATCGGCCGGCACCGACCCATCCCGCCCCGCAGGAGTTGGCAGGATGGTGCGGTGCTCAGCGCGCTGCACTCCGCCATGCTCCTCCAGGTCATGACCTTCAAAGAAGGCGCGGGCGAAAGCCCAAAGCCGAAAGCCGAAGCGTGTGGCCAACATTTAATTTGGAGGAGACAGCCCGGCTTCGGCTAGGTGTTGTTTCTGGTGTCACTTTGAGAATCTGGTGTCAGCGGTTGGCCTTTTTGACCCCATCCTCATCCCACTTTCATTCCATCCAACCAAGCCCATATCCATCTCATCCCATCCCGTTTTCACCTGATGCCACCCACAAGTGAGAGCAGGTGAAGCTACAGGAGTATGTCACGCTTCTAGCCAGACTAGTTTGACAAGCGTTCATCCTTCAGTCCATGTTTTTTTTTGTTTTTTTTGTAAAGACTCCGCAAATGTTCACAATCATGAGTCAAAATATGATGCCCAAGACCCAAGCAAATACAGTCAAGCAAGAATTGGACAAGTGTTTGCAGTCATGTCATGCTCACTGCCATGAATTTATGTTTTGCTTTCTTTTGAGCGGGTTGAATTGGAATGTTTGAGCGTACGTGGAACATGTCATGTGCATGGCCCTGGAGAGCACTATCCAATCCGTGGCTTCGTGGGAGCATGCCGTCGCGAGTCGCGCGGCCACCCGGCAATCTTGATGCTTCGTTGTGGGCCCTGGTCAACAAACACGTCACTGTCTTGACTTGGCATTCTTGTTTTCAGAGATGTCCCAGCCGTTGAGGACTGCAACCTCAAACCAGCTGCAAAATCAGGTTTTAGACATAGGCGGGTCTCAGAGCCCCACCACGTCTAGTAGGTACGCCTGGCATTTTCCTTGTAATACGATTGTGTTCTCTGCATGTAGCCACCATGCATTCGGAGCTTCGTAAATTGCAGGGGCACATACCTAGCAGGTGGCCAAACCAAAACGCAAGCTGGAAAAGTCCTACTTCGTTTATTTGGGTTTGTCTGGTTTTTGCAGGTTCCCTTGTTATTGTTGTGGTTGATTTCAAGGGAAACCAAAGGGCAAACCGCAATTTTGGGGTTCACTACTTTAAGACACACTCATCTTGCATCTTTTTGGCGGAACCATCCAGATGGGGCGCCATTTTTTGGGCAAGCGAACTGAGACAGGTGCCACCCGTCCCACCATCCTCGAGAACGTCGCGCTTGACAGGCCTGAGTGCACAGTGGCTCACATGGCATTTGTCTGCCTACTTATAGCGAGCGCACCTGCGGGTAAAAGGAGCTCACCATTATTGCAGCTTTTGGGATTATAGTAAAATTTGCCGATTTGTTCAATCAATCAGCAGACTGCTGCTTTCTTTTGCGCAGGGACACCAAGAAAAGGGAACCAAGCATTGCCCTGCTGGTTTTGGCGCCAAGCCAAGGGCCGAAGAGGGTCCTGTCGGCACACAGTTGGGTCACAAAGTGCGGTCTTGAATCCCGTCTTTTAGGCAACTGCCATTGAAACGGCAACTGGCGCGCAAGAAGAGCCTTTGGATCTAAAGTCCCTGTGCAGATGTTGCAGGTACGATTCTTCACACGACTCAACCTCAGGTCCTGCCACCACAAAACTTCCAGCAACAGGCGCAAGCGGCAAAGTCTAGAACTGTAACCGTGAATCCACTAGTGGACCCTGCGGAACTGAATAGCTGTGCTTGATTGGGTTCTTAACATTTGACAGGCATGTGTGCCCTTCTGAGCTTGAGACGGAGATTGCATGACCATCATTGATCATTGGTTGATCCAATGGCTTGCACAGCTCATGCCACTTGGCTCCGCCCTCTTTCGGTAAGTTTTTGCAGGTGATTTCTTGCATCGCTTCTCGGTGAGGCCAAATGCCACTTCTCAACATTGAATTGGCCCTGCCAGTGTCACTGCGTTGAAAACAAAGGGTGGAAATTGCAAACAACTGAAAACGTGGGGCCTTTGCATGTCATGCTGAAAATGTGATTTTGCAATTGCCACACCACCTCGGGGCGGCACAACAGCCGCCTTCCGTGTTTTTGTTGAAATGCCTTGAAAAGTATCAACAGCTTTCTTAACAACGCTCTAACAAGCTTGCATTTGGATGTGGATTCGACGCTGCGTGAGTTTTCACTCACACCGCCAAGCCCGAATTCAATCACATCGCAACTTGCGCGGTTATTGCACATGTTTTCAACTGCTGCTCTTTTGAAGCACGGCTCGGTTGCATTCATGCCTACTCAATGCTTTTCATGATGGCGACAGTAGCCAGGGGAAACAACAACGGTGATGAAGACCTAAGTGGTGCATGTGATGGTGGGGTGGTGGCGGTGGCGGTGGGTGGCGGTGGCGCTGCTGCTGCTGCTGCTGCTGCTGCTGCTGGTGGTGGTGCTGGTGGTGGTGGTGGTGGTGGTGAGGTTATTTCTTAGATCAAAGTGGCCGAAATCAAACAACAGTTGGGTGCATCTGTTTCCCCCCTTAGATGTTGTGCTGACAAAGCATCAATCAAAGCTTGGCAAGCCCGTGGGCTCACCCCTTCAACCCAGCCCCGCACAGGGTCCGGCGGAAATACCCGCCACTTGGCAAATTGGTGGGCGGGGAAATGGGGTTGGCCCCTGCAGTTCTGGAAGGGGAGGGCACCTGAGCCAGGCACTCCGTCCCAAAAAAGAAGTGCATCCTTTCTGCTTGGACGTTCCCTTTGCGGCCTGAAATGTGAGGCTCGGCAAATTTAAGCTTCGCACATCAAATCGTAGCCGAGACAATGGATTTTCATGTTCGCAGCTAGATTTGATAGAAAAATACAGTTTTGAGATTGCTTTGCACGGCTCATTGCAAATGGACAGGCTGGCGGGTCACAACCCTGCCCTTTGAAATAATTTCACCTTTTGAGGTTCATTGGGTTGGTGGCAAGTGCCGGGGTCGAAACATTCATTAAGGAGTACCACGTGAGCAAACCAGGGGTACATGTCAATATGCACACCCAGATTGAAATCACATTGCAACAGCACTCAATGAATGTTGAGCCATGGTGTGAGTATTGACCACCTAAGTATAAACTCTGTCAATGCCACAAAGAACAATTTAACGGAGACGCGCACATCGTAGTGCTGAGGAAGAATTCGAGCGTCGTCGTCTACAAAGGTGCCTGCTTTTGGGCTTGGAGTTTCATCCGGGAGGGGATGGATGGCAAGTTGCAGTGGGCCATCCGCCATCTCGGTCCACTTGGATTTTTGAGTAGGGGGTGTCCCATTTCAGGCGCAGACCTTCGCCTTTCGGGAAAAGATCATCCCATATGAATCCACAGGAAATCCGAGGTCGACAGCAGGGTTCAAATGACGTGGGCGGCTGGGGGTTAAAACTTGTCCGCTCAATTTCCCTTTCCCGCAGTACCCTTAGAGAATCCCCGCTAGGCACCAGTGGCAAAGTAGTCCGTTTGCGAGAGGAGAAAAAACGGCCCAGTTTTCCTGCGCGTTTCTGAACGAAGATCCCTACAAAATGGCAATAATTTGTTTTTTGTTGTTGTTGGTTTTGCATTCCTGTAAATGCCTGTGGTAGTGGTCCTGGAACACGCTCATCAAGCTGCGAAGCAAACGCAAATGGTCAGTCAGGCTCAACCAAATCTATCTGCGAAGATGTTCTACTCTTTTTTGCACTGCGTTGAAACTGAATGAGTTTTACCCACACACGCACACAAAGCGCAATTACCAAATCGGGTGGCTTCCCCCCCCTTTCCGGATTCAAAAAGAAATACAATGCCGAGCCTACTTAGCAAGCCTGGGAGTGTTAAACTGTTGCGACCTGTAGGTCAAAGCTGACCCAGCTACAGTCTCCTTCGTTCTGGTTCAATTGTGCATGTATTTGCATGCACGTTATATGCATCGGCAGAAAAGAATGCATGCGTACAATTTGACCACGTATTTACGTACATATGCCTTGTGCCCGCAGGGTATCACGTTTCGAGTACAGCACTGCTTGAGGTGTGAAGTTCTTCCTGGAATGCAAGATGAAGGTTTCAAAGTCCCAGATGTGGAGCACCTTTTGAAGGAAGCATCAAGTGACAGAAGCTGGTCTTTTGTGTCAACCCCTCGCATCTATTCTGACAATGCCGTTGTTCCTGCGCACTGGGCTTCCATTTGCTTAAGAATATGTTTTCTTTTGCCCTGTTGGTGGGGGGTTGTGGCAAGCCTTGAAAGACCGAACTGCCCCCATGCCACTCCGCGCGCCGGCCACCCGGCCCGAGCTGTGCCAGGCCGTGAAGCGGGCTGGGTCTGGGGCACGGTGGTGCGAGCTTGTGATGAGCTCCCACTGCGCCCGCCAGGGCCTCGGTTTGCAAGGGCCAAAACGACCTCGGAGGTTTGTCTTCCATTTGCTTAGGAGGTGTTTTATATTTTCCCCTGTTGGTTTTAATGACCGCCTCTGATGAATAACCCCCCCCCAAACATAATTTAGAATTGCATTTGTTTGGGGAATCCTTTCAATTGACTTCAGCAGTGCAACTGCAAATTCGGAGTTGGAGAGTCTTTCATGTTGATTTGAGTATTACAAATTCAATTTTGGAATTGGCTTGGCTGCTTTGGCTGCCTTGAAGAGGCTGGGATGCGGAGCTGGTGCTTTTTGGAAGGGGGCTGGCCAAAAAGCTTTATTTAGGGACCCTCTCAAATATGTTTTTTGCATGAGATTCAAGGCTCCCGTGTGGTACCCCCTTTGTGAAATTGATTCTGCGTTTTTTGAACAAAGAGATAAAACAAAAAGATGAGCTAGTCTTGGATGTTGAGCATCACCCAAAGAAAGAACTTGCTTTGGCAGGAACGGGTTGAGCTTGGTATTTTGATGAGGGGATTCTTTTTGCAGAGGCCGGGATGGGGAGCTGGTGCTTTTGGAGGGGGGCTGGCCAAAAAACTTTATGTAGGACCCATTGATGAATCAGTCCGGGGCCCCAAAAAACTGTTTTTGGAGACCAATTACTACTCGTAGGTGAACATTAAAGGGGGATTCCTCCCAAAGCGGCCTGTGGTCCAAAGAAAGTGCTCCCCTCGCTCGCCCTCGCTCCGCCTCTTCTCTCTCAGGGGCCAGGAACCAAGGCGGGCGGGACCGGAGAGTGTGCGAGGGATCGTGTTTTTTCTCTATTCTTTTGGTGCATTTGTGAGGTTCCGTGTCTGGCTTGTGTTGAATCATGCTGCTAGTGGGAGTACCGGTGTCCTACTTTTGCTTCAATCCACAGCAACCATAGTGCCAAAACGCGCTTAATCTACCAGTTGCAACACGATCTTTGAACGGCGCCCTGTGCAATGCACTACCCATTTTTGGCAAATAATACGGGCTGCCCTGATAGCAGGCAGTACAGTGACTCTTGCGAATAGCATCTCGAGGTGGCGCAACGTGGCGCAAGGAATCCCAAGTTGCACGGCAGCACAACGCCCGGTGCAGCTTCATTCCGGGGCGTTGCTGCTTGCTCATTCAGCGGGGGTTTGCAATGTCAAATCGGCATCAATGTGATTGTTCTTGATCAGCTGAAGTCCTGCTTGCTGGGGGACCATGGGTGTGACCATCGGTTCCCACTGCAACAGCATCCAGGGCATTTCTTCATACAGTGATTGCTTTCCATGGGAAACACACATAAGGCAATGTGTACCTGTTCCAGCGTAACTGTGCGCAGCTTGCTCGGTGCCTCCATGGTTCGTGCGGAACGTGGGCTTAGCGCGGGCGCTTTCCATGCGGTTCGGAACCGCTACGCCCTTTGGGCCCTTTGGGCCCCTTGCCGGCCGCGAGGTCCCCGACAATGTCGCCAAGAGCGCCCAAAGTTGGCTCATCTCAAACACCGGCTGAGCCCGCCGGGGCCCTGGGCCCCTGGGCAAGTCGGACTCACAGTGCCACCTACTTTTTCAGCAGCCTAATGTGTCTCGTTTGTCTCTTTCTATTTTTCCGCTGATTCGTAATGTCCTGTTCCCATTCAGCTGAATGCAGTCATGGGGCATGTTGTTTCTTCCATGCTGAGGTTTCCCAACCTGGTGATTATGGTCTAAATTGTTAAGGTCATGGCAGCCCCAATCTCAATGTTGACGCCAAGCAAGGTCAGAATATTTCCTCAATTTCCTTTTTCGCTTTGGGACGAGGACAAACTCGCATCACACCACAATTGTGTTGATGGTTGCTGTCATTCAGCGTCTTGAAATAATAAACGCCCCCTTCCCCTGTGTTTGTTACGTTACGATCCACAGATTCTTCCATTCTGCATGGAGAGCTGTCGCGGCCACTGTGGCAACCCGCCGCATGGTTCATTGATTCATGGACACCCTGATCGCATGCGATCGGGCTGTGTGAAAGGCTTGCATGCTGGAAAAACAATCCAGGCAGCCTTCCAGGAGGAATGCCTTGGGTGGAGGTCCTTTTCGGAAGTTGACTGTCTTCATGTTTTAGAGGACTTGTGCATCATCTGCTGTACGCATGTGCCCCCTGTGCTTTTGTGAAATGGGTATGTCTGATTTGACTTTACCTTGTTTGGATGGGTAGCCAAGTTTTGATGCTTCAACTAGGTGTTGGGCCAGGTCGGTGCATAGGCCCTCAAAGATCAGACATGTGGAAAGAGTGAGCTCGTCATGATGCTTGGTACTTTCCCGCACTATGCTTTTGCTCGGCCCTCGCTGCAGGCCGCAATGCTGCTTGGAGGAAGGTGGGTGAACCGTCCTGGGTAAACCTCGGCAGGTCTGCTTTGGGTTGACAACTGATTAGCAAGCAAGCGGATGGCCCTGCCAGAACTAGGGCTGGAAAACACTCATTTTGCCATAGCAAGGGCAAAGCTTCAACCGGATACACTGCTTTAGCCCATGTGGAATTCTTCTCAAGGCAGTGAGTTTTGAACCTTCTTGCACAGCACGGCCCCGTTGCCATTTGCTTGTTGCTGGCTGACTGCATTTTTGCTTTCAAAAAGACACGGGAGGCCAGTCTTCGTAGCGACTGCCATTTCAGAGGGCATTCATGCCAGGCAGCTTTCCTGTTGAATGCTAGATCTCAAGAGTTACCCCTCAACAGGGGGCAGCCCAATGCAGAACCTCTCCCCACGCTTTTTCAGTGCGATGTCAGGGCCTGAGCTTGGCACAAAATTGGATTTGCCAGGCGGACCTGAGGGAACCAAAGGACAAGGATTCTAGGGGCACTTTCCCCATTCTTTCCAGGGATCTTTCTAAAAACCTCCGGAAACCCAGGGAAAACGGATCCAGTTTTTGGAAAGAACGACGGTTGAAAAGAATGGAAATAGACCCCAAAGGAGGATGTGGAGTCCATCAACTAGGTCTCAGTAGTGCCCTTTTACCCTTTTTGGGGGGGTTGCCCTACTAAAATTGACTGCAGAAAAAAGTGGGTACCCTTATTCTAGCCTCTCTACTGGAGGACCTACCTAGTCAATTTGCATCTCAGGCTCCACGAGTCCACGGAATTGGCGGAGCCTACGTTTGTGCAGGCACGGTTTTTCATGCCAGCGTGTGCAATGGTGATTTCACAACCCCATTCTGCAGCAGGGAAAGGCCAATGGCCTCTCTATTTCTATTGATTACTGGCTTATCATTGGCATGAAGGATTCTAAAACATGTGGCAAGTTCGACGCTAACCAGCACAACACGTCTTTGGGTCCCTGCAAGACTCTGCCAGGTCCTCTTCGTGGAGTGACAATTTGGGCGTCATGGAGTCACATTGTTCTTGCATGCTGTGCAACGTTCCATTTTTGACCAAAACTGGCTGACTTGACATCTCCCAGCTGAACGTGACTGACTGCCAAGTACTGAGACCATAAAACCTGAGGTATTTGCCAGACATGACCTGAAGGGTCAGAGCCTTCGGGCCATGACCTGCATTGATTTGTGCCTACAAGTCGCCAGGTGCTCCTCAAGGATGCGGAGGAACCTGCACCTTGCCATCGAGCGTCGCAGTGGGGGCAGTGGGGAAGCTTCCCTTTGGGAAGCACAGTATTCTTGTTCGTCCATGTCGACTTTATTTGGAGCCCTTGTTCAATTCAATCGTGTTTAGAATCTGTTTGTTCATTGGAAATAAATGTCTTTCACATGTTTTTTAGAGACAATAACAGTAAATGATGATGATAACGGTTTTCTTGTCAAATGTCGAACTTCGCTTTCAAATCAAGGCGGCCTCATCCATGACAGGTTGGATTGCCCCTCTGAGCCTAAATTGTGACCATCGGACTTCCTGCTTGGCGCAAAGCTACATCTTGCTTGAAGCATGGTACAACAGCCTGGTTGCTGTCACGATACCCTTTGTTGCTGGAGCTGCTGAACACCATTGCATTTCTTGCGCACAATGATTGAGGAGTTTGCCTTTGCAAGATCATGAACATTCCCCGGGCGCATAAAGACGGGCTTCAGCAAAAATGAATCGTGCTGTATTGGGCCTAGGTTGTAGGAACACTCAGTGCATTTCACCAAATGTTCTAAGAGATGTCTCCTTTGCGGCCAGGACAATGTGAGCTTCTTAGGCTTTCAACTGTCCTCCTCCATTGATGCTGAGGTGGAAGTGCCTTCCTACCTTCTTCGCGTTGTGCCTGAGCAGATGGAGCTTTGAAGGCTGGCTTCGTCTGCATTCAGTACAATCAAATGGGTATGGGTCAAGATTAAACCACCAGGGGACCGCAGGTTTTAGCCCATGTTTCCATTTACCAGGGTTCCATTTTGCGACCCACAACCAAAATATGTTTGACGATTGCTGTGATATCCTTGTTAGGTTCCTCCCCTAAGCTGCACGGCGACCCCAAGCCAGCTCTGCCCGGGAACTATTTGCCGAGGGTTGGCAGGAACCATTTGCGTGGTTTTCGAGCGCCGAGCCACACTTCCAGTGTTCCACCCACGCGCCCCCCTAAAAAGTTGCATTTTATGTTCGACCCCCCCACGAAAGAAATGCGGAACCGAAGTCAAAGAAAATATTTTAAACCCAGACAACCTCAGCAAGGATCTGCGCGGTCGCTGTGCAACAATTGATTGAGGACTCTTGCCACGTTGTACTGTGCAAAAACGACCCAACTTGTTGATGCCATGCGCGCGCGCGGGAATCGCGGTGGTCGACGTGGGGATCCAGAAGCTCGGGGCAGCCTTCCTTACTCATCATCACCATTACCAATGCAAGTTGGGTTGAGGAGCTTTGTTTGCACCATCAGGCTTGACTGTGGAAGACCGAGAACGACGCACGCAACAACTTGAACAGAACAACTTGGAAACATTGCTGCACAGAGAAACATTCTCCAACCCAGCTCGCCCACAGAACTTACATCGATAGCTCCCGTGAAAGAAAGCTTGCCAGCTGCCCCTCACGTTTCCTGACACTTGTCGTAGAAAAGCTGGAAGGAAATAGATGTTCAAGGCATTTTTTTCAGCGTTGCAGGTCAAGGCCGACATGAGCGAAACCTGACTGGCAGAACCAGTGACTGGCAGTGCAATCCTGCCAAGCGTTTAAGGCAATGGTGCTCTCTTTCAAAGAAGTGACCTCATTCCCTGCCAGAGTTCCTGGACACATGGCGCACGAATTCATTGGGCGGCCGTCATTTCTGAAGAAATGCACGGCATATGGTCATACGCAAGCAAACCTAACCTGGAGGAGAACTAAATTTTCATTAAATTCTATATTTCAAGAATTATTCAAAAATAGTAGATTTGGATATGGATTCGTTCAAATTTTGAAAATAAATATGATGTATTTGATAAAATGTGTAATAGAAAAATATATTGAAATTGTGTTTTATTACTTGAAGATTAATTGAAAATTGTTTGAATTAAAATATAAGAATGAAATTCTTGAATATAATATGAAGATTATGTTTGGGAAGGTAATTAAAA